AGGTTTGGGCTCTGCTGCCCATTCCACCACACCATCCCAGCTGAGCAGACAGGCAACCTACCTTCTCAGTCACATACTGACAGCGCTTTAAGTCATGGTCCCCATCAGGAAGGATCTCAGGTTCCACAATGGGCACGATGCCATTCTGTCAGGGGAGGGACAGAGTAGCCACAAGGCCTCATCACCTAGAACCCCACCCACAGGTCCTCACAGCCACTGGCCAGGATCTTATCTTGATGATGATAGGAATGCATGGCATCAAAGCCYTCAGTGGATTACTGCTGACAGGCATCTCAGATCCACCCAGGCAATCCCTATTCTGCCCCTCTGCCTTACAGCATGTCCTCCCAGGGCCCAGCCTCATGTTCAGTGCATATTGGGAACAGCAACTTTGGGGGAGGTAGGTATCTGGCAGATGGGGGGCAAGCTAGCCCATACTAAGGTGGGAGGTGGCCTTTTGGGGACCTGCAGTCCCACCTGCTGGCAGATGCTGGCATAACGGGCCAGAACATTGGCATTTTCCATGATGGCAAGAGAYGAGGGGGTGTGTTCCCCAATCTTCAGCACACAGCGCCACTTGGCAAAGTCAGCTCCATCCTTCTTATACTGGGCACAGCGCTCAGACAGCCCATCCAGCCCTGAAGAGAAAACGAAGGAGTCAGAGCATGGTGGGAGAGGGAGGGATGCATCTCCACTCGCTGGCTGGCAGGGGAAAGATCCAAACAGTTCTCACCTTGGGTGGTGGTCTCGCCGTTTGTTCCCGCCAGGGGCACCACACCCTTGTCTACCTGTTGGGGTGGATGAGGGTAATGATCTCTAGTATCTTTTCCTCCTCCCTCAACCCCAACCTCACTTAATCTCTCACYGACCTCTCCAAGCTTGCCCATATTTTTACTTAGTTATAGCACCCAGACCTGTGAGGTGTGATGCATTGGAATATTTTTTTCCACAGAATATTAACTGGATTGAGTGTCAGGACACCTGGGCTCTACCACTCACTAATGCCGAGCAAATGATTTTACCTCCCTGAACTTCTGGCTTTTCACCTGTAATGCCTTGCTCTTAGAATTATAAGGATTAAGAATGCCAGGGCTGGGGTTGTGGCTCAGTGGTAGAGCACTCGCCTAGCACATGCGAGGCCCTGGGTTCGATTCTCAGCATTACATAAAAATAAACAGTACAACTAAAAAAAAAAAAAAAGAAAAAAGAATGCCACTGTGGCTATAGTATCTGCCTAGCGTGCAGAAAACTATGGGTTTGATCCCCAGCACCACACACACACAAACAAGTCCGAGTACACCATACCATAAAGTCTGTAACCAAGGCTCCACCCTAGTCTTTAGACCCCCCAACTCAATATTCATCCCCTGTCCTATTAATCTGGATTCCTTTCCCTCACATTCATTCCCAAACTTAAATCCTGAGGCCCTGCTCCCTCACCTTGATGCCCACGACACCACCCTTGGATTTGATGACTTGGGGGAAGGAACGCCCATCATCCGCCTTCTGGTAGAGTGTCTCATGGAAGAGGATGACACCCCCAATGCAGGGATTCACACGGTCATCAGCAGTCAGCAGCAGCTGGCGGTAGAAGCGCCGATTCTCCTCGGTGTTCTCAGTGCCAATGGACTGCAGCCGCTTGGCAATGCTTCCTGGAAGGGAGCATCACATGGGAGAATAAAGAGATTGACCTGTCACTTCCAACCCTGGGCCCTCCTCCCACTCGTCTTGGGCCAGCACCGTACCCGTGGACTCATCTGCTGCCAGGATGCCCTTGCCCGGAGCCACAATGCGGCGAGCTATCTCAGACAGCTCCTTCTTCTGCTCCGGGGTCAGTGCTGGGTATTGGTAGGGCATGGTGCTGGTGGTAGCAGGTTCCTGGGTAAAGGAGACAGATGGAGGTTGAGTAGTTAGCTGGGACTTCTCATGGTCGCCCAGTGAAACAGGCCCCTTTCTTGGAAGTCAGGGGAATCGATCCCTACCTCCCCTGCCCCACACCCTGGCAGGTCCTGGGGCACTTCCTGTCCCCAACTCTCCCCTACACCCGACTTCCCTATACTAGGCCTGCCTCCTCCTGTACCTTTCCTAACTCTGTCTGTTGCTGGGTTTGTTGCTGGGTTTGCTCCTGAGTTTGTTGCTGGGTGTTTCCCAGCTGAGAGTGGGGTTGCCCACTGGCAACTGGGGGAAAGGAAAAAGCCATAGCCAGGGACAGGCGGGTCATGTTGAAGCCGGCCCCTTCTGGCTTGCGCCTTGCCATGGGGTCACCTTGCCTAGAAACAAAACCGAACCGAAGTATTTTAGAATTTAAAGGTCATGAGTAGGGCAGAGGGCCCCAAATCTCATGTGAAAGGTCCCAGAGAAGGTAAAGATCTGTGCATCCAGCCACACCACAACGGAGGGTGGGGGTGGGGGGGTGGTGTCTGAGATTAGAACCCAGATCTCCTGACTGCTATTAGGGTATTCCTTCCAATCCGCCCAAGATCCCAGGGCTGGCCCAGGCTCCAAGGCTCCAAGGACATCCCAAGGTCAGGCTTCTCCCCCCAGGGTGAGGGGAGGGTGTTAGGGAAAAAAGTAGGAGGCAATCGAAAGCCCAGGGAAGGGCAGCCCAGCAAGCCCAGTCGGAGGTGGAGGGAAGGGTAAGGTTCGCCCGTGCTCACTGCTCATACAGGGAAAGAGAATGTTGAGGGGAGGCAAGCGCCCCACCCCTTCCCTGAAAAATGCTCCTGTTTGCACGGCTGCAGCTGTTCCAGGCTTAGAATCAAGATCTCAAGGAAAGATAGGGAAAGTGTTAATGGGTCATCAGGCCCAGCTGAGGAGTTTTCCCCCAATACCAGGGGCTCAGGGTCTCCAGGGGCAGGAATCACCCGCCACCCAGTTGTGCAAATCCTGAGGCAAGTATAAGCTGCGTCCACCCCTCTTTGCCTTTCGGGATCTCTATCGAGGCAAAGGGACCCTACGACTTTGTACCGGGGGTCCCTGCAAAGATAGGGATTGGGGTAATGGTCCTTCATCTCGTCCTGCTTCCTCCCCCGCCATGACTCAGCGTGGTGCTGCTGCGTTGCGCAGCTGACCGAGGGAGCTAGAGCTGGAGAGGGTTGGGGAGTAGCGGCCTGGAGAGCAAGTCTGTGGGGTGGTAGTGGGAAGATACTGGCCACAATCCCCGGGTGGGGGCTCCGCGAAGGCGCCCGACCCGCCACTGCCCCAGGATCCTTCTCCATGGTTCCAGACCCTCGCACGTGGCTAGGGGCGCTCACCTGGCACAGAAGGGGGCGGGTTTGTGGGGTGCGGCGGCGGAGGGCGGTGGGCTGGCGGGTGGACTGAGATGCGAACGCTGCAGTCGTCACCGGAACCGGGTTCTGCGGCGCGTTCCGAGAGGAACGAAGCCTATTCAGATCCCGAGGGGGCGGCGCAGGGGGCGGGCAGGAGGAGGCGACTCTGGTCTTTTAAAGACACCGCTCCGCCCTCCACTGGGTTTTTTCCTTTACCGGGGACTGGAGGCGTCCAATTGCAGGCGAGGGACAGTGCGCAAGGCCGCCCAGAAAGGCGAAGCCAGGAGGCGGCTCTTGGGAGGGGACAAGGCAGCTAGAATACGATCCCTCCCCCATCCCCCCAGGACGTGACTCGGGCCACATCCCGCGGGTCGCCAGGGCCCTCCCCTCCCTTGTACTTCCCCCCCACTCAGTCTGGCGCGCTCTGGAGTGCCGTGACTCAGCCGGAATTTTGGCACGGGATGGGATGGGGATGGGGAGGTGGGGGAAAAGCGATAGAAGAATCAAAAGATACGAAGGCTGGCTTCTCTCCTCCCAGGTACCATCCCCGCGCCAGGGCAGCCCCAGCTTCCGGCCAGCGTGGTTGCATTGCATGTCACATCATAACCAAATCAAGAGGTCGGGCGTCTGCCTGCCTCGCCCGTGGGCTGTCCTGCTCGGTGCGGAGCTGATCCCTCCCAGTCCTTAACTCAGGCGCAAGAGAGGTGGGGAGAAGGGCGGCGAACGGAAGCACTGGGAGCGAAAGAGAGCGGCCTGGGCTTGCAGAGAGCCGTAGCGAGGCCTTCCCCTAGGTGTGGGGTCCCGCCCTGGCAAGGGGTTCCCGCGTCAGCGTAGAGTCGGGCTCCCGGCCGGGAAGGCCAGCCTGGCCTGCTCTGGCGCATGCGCTTTCGCCCGCTGCTGGTGCAGACTTGAAAACCAGACTGCGGAACTAACCGGCTAGGACTTGGCCTAAACAAGTGTCCCTGAACCTGAATTCCTTCTCCAATACAAAATCCACCCCCGCGCTGATCCGTTCCGATTTCCGCGCTCCCAGATATTTACTGAGCTTCCCGAATCCTTCCCCCATTCCGACCCCTTCGGCCCACCCCCAACCCACAGAGTTCGGCTAGCTGCCCACCTGCTGTGAGGCTGAAAGGGAGGCGCAGGCAGAGCGTGGTCGGCGGCGAGAGAGCCAGGCGGACACTGGGTTATAAGGCAGCTCCTGCCCTCCCCCCACACACAAATGTCCCCGACCTTCTCGGTAACCCCTGCCCTTTCGCCGCCACGGATCCCTGGCAAAGGACCTATATTTAGGGAAACCTGAAGCCCCTGACATTCAAGCCAGCGTGGGGCCCTCCGTGGGGGAAGGAGGAGGAAGCCTTGGGTCTGCCCTAGGGGGAGGAGGGGTCCCCTCCCACTCACCGGTACTTCAGAGGAAATTTCTTCCTTGGAGACCTAGACTGAAGAAGCTCTTGGTTGTCAAGAGAAATCAATCTTAGACCCGAGGTCTGTGGGGAGGGAAAGGAGTACAGGCAGTTAGATGGGGTGGCCACCCTGCCTCCTCCCATGCCTCCTCTGATTCCCTCCTCCCCGTGGCTCTGGGACTCATGGTGGCTCCTTTTTTTTTTTTTTTTTTAGAGGGAGAGCAGATGCAGGCAAATACTCACCTCCTAAAATAACCAAGAGTCCATGAACAGGGTGTGGTTGGGCACCCCTAAATCCTGACACTCAAGGCCAGCTGAGTCCCACCCATCATGCATCTGTGGTGAGCAATGCTCCCCGCATCCTCCAAATCAAATACAATAGTTTACTTGGGGAGGGAAAGAGGGGCAGCCTCTCTCCCTCCCACCCTCCAAAGGAGCTGCAGTCCAGCTGCCCAAGGGCTCTCTGAGCCCTGCCTTGCAGGGAACCCGGCCCTCCAGTTGCCAGAGTGGTGAGCCATTTGTGGTTCCAATGGCCTGGAGAAAAAGTGTCTTGGGGGCCCTGAGGGAGGGGAGCATGTGGGCCCTGGGGGCTGGCTGCTCCCCAAAGGGTAGGGATCCTGGGTCCTCATCRGAGCTTGATCTCAAAGCAGAGACAGTTGAGGCTCTGGCATTCAGGAAGTTGGCAGGMACAGGCACAGTCGCAGAGCGGGCAGCAGCGGGGGCACTGAGGAGCCCAACCCTAARGAGAGGAGAGAGTGGTGAGGCAGGACCAGAACCGCAGTCTGTTTCCCTCCAAGGGGAGAAGGAAACAGAGGGGCTGTGGAAGTTGCAATTGCTAGTGGTATAGAGAGTACCATCCACCCTGTAATCCCAGAGATCGGGAGGCTGAGACAGGAGAATCGTGAGTTCAAAGCCAGCCTCAGCTAAAGGGAGCTGCTAAGCAACTCAGTGAGACTGGTCTTTAAATAAATATAAAATAGGCAGTTAGATGGGGATGCGGCTCTTTTTTTTTTTTTTTTGAGATCCCTGAATTCAATCCCCAGTGCCAAAATAAAGTACTATCCACCATTCCTGAGAATAAAGCTATTCCCTGTGCTGCTGGGAAATCAGCAATGAGGCAGTGTTCTAGCATTTCAGCTCAGGAGCTGGAGCCATTACATAAGGGTTCTCTCCTTCTTCCCATTGCTTATATAAGGAGGCTGAGCACCAGTGGGTCCTTGGTCTATGCTAGAATTGAGGTGTCCCAGTGACGGTGGTTCTGCTACAACCTCATGGCCTTGTGCAATTGAGAGGCGATAGGAAGAGAAAGCATGCGTGTTTTTCTGTCCATCATGAAAAGAATTGCAGTGGTTATATGGACTTCTTTCTTGGCATGAGACCCAACTGCAGGATGTCATTCATTGTTGAGCCCAACTTTGTGTAGGGCACAGACTACATTCATGAATGATTTTTATTTTTTATTTTATTTTTTAATATTTATTTTTTAGTTCTCGGCGGACACAACATCTTTGTATGTGGTGCTGAGGATCGAACCCGGGCCGCACGCATGCCAGGCAAGCGCACTACCGCTTGAGCCACATCCCCAGCCCCACTATTGATTTTTAAAACTTTCTAGTTTTCTTTGAAAAATGAAAATTTCAATTTTTTTAAATTTAAGATTATATCTTTTAATTATCACAGTCCTGAAGAGTGGGCCTCTTAATAAAACGGAAATAGAGGCTCAGAGAAGGGAGTGACCTGCCCAAGAGAAACAGTAAAGCTGGGATGGACCAGGGTCAGCTAGTCTTTAGGCCTACGATGCCCCAGTCTCCACTATCTCCCAGGACTAAGCATGTCAACTTAATTCTGGGGTACAAAGGCAGGCCAGTTTTTCTCCTGTCCTCCACTGGGCCAGTGTAGGGAACTTGGCAGGTGTCCAATATGCAGAAAAATGTTGAATGAATGGATGAATCTAAACACTTCATTTTTCCCTCTTTATGCAAAAATAAGAGGGCTTCTAAGCTCCAGGAAAACAAGGTCTGTTGGTCAGGGAAAAGGAACATCATGTCCTTACAGATAGGGAGACCTGACTCCTCCACTTACTGCTCCTCTGCCTGGGACAAGGATGATCTGCAACTGCCCCAGGCATGGACTGGAGGCAGGCCAAATGGCTGGAGTGGGACACACCCAGGATGGCTGTATGACAGAAGATTGGCTCCTTGAGGAGTAGCAGTCACAGTTGCACTGTTCAATCAGAGACTGGGCCAAGCCAGGAATAGGGGAATGACCTTTTCAACAGCTGAGGTTTCGGGGTGCGGTGTCAGATGACTGGTGAGATCAGTGTCACTAGGGTTCCAGCAAGGGGAGGGGATTCGCCAACGGCAGGCAGAGGGGTCTGAATTGGGCTGTGCTAATGTCTACAGAGGGAGAGGGCTAGAGGTGTCACGGTGGAAGGGAGAAATGGTTTTTGTGTGTTTGATGAGGGTGTGGTTTGGGGGTGTCTCTGGGGAGTCCCAGTTTGGGGATGATGTTGGCTCTGTGGGTTTTGAGGACCACACCATCATTCTGTACACAGAGCTGGTGGCTGAGAGCAACTATACTGCCCTTACCTCAGAAACAGGGTATTAAAAGCATTTCTTGGCTCTGTGCACTGAAGGGTTTAGATCCAGTCATTAATAACTGGCTAATGGGTTTCTTGACTCTCATAAGCAGCCATGTGGCTTCTGGAAGGAATCTGCTGTTTAAGTACATTAAACAAGGACTCCACAAGACTGTTAACCCTTGCATTTCTAGAACTAGGCTCTTTCACTTTGGAATTTCCCTTGATCTTCGTGAGGACCAGTCATCATTTTACAGATTACAGCTCAGGCTCAAAATTCAGAAAGGCCCAGGCTTCAATCTCAGCTTGGCTAATTCATGTTCTGAACCTCAGTTTCTCCATCTCTAAATCAACACAGCACCTGCTTCACAGGGTCACTTGGAGAGTCAGTGGGAAGCACTGAGCCTACACCTGATAGGAGCATTCTCACCACTGTAGTTCCAGTTCCCCTTAACAGTAATTCTCAACACTGGTGTGAATCAAAATCATGTGAGAGCTCATTAGAAGGTCACAAACTACAGTCCCACCCCACACCTACTGAGTGAGTGGCTTTCCCTTTAACTCCCCCACCTGCTTCTGATCACACACATGGCTGTCAATCAACCCACGATATACCCTCCTTACATTCTACAATAATTGCCTATTTCTCTCTGTCCATGTAAGCCCTGGGAGGGCCAGGACCTTGTCTGTGTTGTTTCTGCTGAGCCCCTGGGGTCCAGCACAAAGCCTCAACAGTGACTTCATAAATATTTTGATGAATTTTTAAATGAAAGGATGAGATCCTCACCATTTGCCAGTGAAAGCAACATGGCAGGCAGGTTTTTTCCTGAGAAAGGAAAAGAGCCCTGGGTTTGTGGTCTGGCTGGCCCAGTTGTGTGACCTCGGGCAAGTCACTTAGCCTCTGTGAGCTTAAATGTCCACAACTTTAATACAGGCAGAGCTCTGTCACCTTTGTGACTGTCATTGTTACTATAAGGAAACTAGCGAACACAGGGACTGCAGTGTACTTTGAGGAAAGAGYTTAAGGACAGAATGACCCTGCCTGCCCTTGGCTCTCTACATCCCTTCCTGCCCAGTTCCAGCAGAAGCCGGAGAGGTTCAGGCCCTAAAGTCTCCAGGTCTGGAGCCTTGCCAATCCTATAGCCTTGAATTGGCAGGTGGGGGGACCCAGTCTTTTTTTACAGTACATCTCACCCCACCCTCTCTCCTAAGGAAGAGATGCTTCCCTGTCAGTTTACCTCATGCATACAGACAGGCAAGGGGACTGTGTCCCCAGGACAGGGGGCCACAACTCACTTTGTAATTGGGCATCTCCTATAAGATAGGAATTTCTAGATAGAACCCAAGGTCGTCTTTTTTCTTCCCTTTTCCCTCTCATCAGTAATGCTGGGGCCCTACTCCTGGCTATCCCTGGGGAATCAGAAGCAGATTATTTGAAAGAGGAGAGCTCCTTGTCCCACAGTTTATTTTGAAACTCAAAACATCTGCCAGGAATTTGCAGCAAGCCCAGTTAGCCCAAGTTTTGACTTTGCTGGGGCTTGTTCTTTTATCCCCCACTTCCTCCTAGGGAGGTCACGGCTCCAAGGGCAGAAGCTTTGCTGTCTAATTCTCTGAGCTCAAAATATCACTGTTTAGAAAGGTGGTCGATCACTAAACATCTTTAAACCCACAAATGTAAAAATGGCTTGTCTTCGGTGAGCCAGACTTCTCCCCTGAGGATTCTGCCGCTGCTAGGACTGTGGAGCAATTTTCTAAGCAAGGCTTCGCTGGATAACACTGAAAAGCCATTAAACTTTCCCAAGCCAGTTTACCCCCCTGCAGAAAGGGCATAATAATACTTATCCACCTACATGTTCAGGCATGGAGAGGCGGCCAAGGTATCATGTCAAGTTTAAAGGAGAGGTAGCAGTTGTGGTGATATGGTCTATATGGTATGACTCCATTTTTGCCAAATAATAGTAAGGTGCAGCAGTAATAGTACTGGATATTAGCATATGAGGGACATACACAAAATGTAGCCACTTTGGATTTGAGAATTGGTTTATAAAGTGATTTATATTTTGTGGTTTTACATGTGTGCTTTGTAAATAATACTTTTTGTAATGCTTTTTGAAATATTTTGTAAACATATATATAAGTTTTTTAAAATACCCAACTAGCCAGGTATGGCGGCACATGYCTGTAATCCCATTGGCTTGGGAGGCTGAGGCAGGAGGACCACAAGTTCAAAGCCACCCTCAGTAACTTAGCAAGGCCCTAAGCAACTCAATGAGACCCTGTCTCAAAATATAGTATAAAAGGGTTGGGGACATGGTTCAGTGGTTAAGAACTCCTTGGTTCAATGCCTCTACAATAAATAAATAAATAAATACCCAATTCACATAACTAGTATGTATCAATTAAAAGTTAAAAGTGAAATAAATACCTAGATCACAGGGTTTCTAGGAAAAATAATAATGCCAATAAAGTGGTGTTCTCTGGGACATAATATTCACTTAATGACTCTCAGGTGCTCTGTGAGCTATTTTTCCTTTTTTTGTGTTTTTTCAGTCCCCATGAGTGCTCTACCACTGAGTTCCCAGACCCTTTTAAAAAACTTTTTGARATGGATCTCGCTAAGTTCTTGAGGCTGGCCTCAAACTTACAATCCACCTTCCTCAACCTCCTGAGTTGCTGGGATTACAGGCATGTGCCACTGTGCCTGGCTTAGCTATTTTCCTTTTAACTACCATTTTCAGAAGTGTTGATTACRTGCTGTGCATGTTGCACAGATCACCTTTCCCTGGCGGTTGCCCTATTTTCCTCAGGTAGCCGTCATCGTTAGACAGGACCTGATGTGTTGTTATGTTGTCTTCACATAGCTCAATACCTGAACCGTGCCTCACCTAGAGTTGGTGCTCAGTAACAAATGTGATTGAACAGAGGCAATAAAGGCACAGATCATCCCTAGATCAGAGCTCTGCGGGGCAGGGTGAGAACTCACAGCTTCGCTGGGTTGGGGGCAGCAGGCATCCAGGTAGCGGCCAGGGCTGGGCAGAGGGAAGTCACAGGCTTCTGCACAGGTCCAGCAACAGTCTTGTAAGGCACCTTTCTTCCTGCAGGGGGAGCTGCAGTCTACGCAGCAGCCCTGGGCCTAGGAGATGGGAGGGCTCACGATCCAGTCAGCAGCAGAGCAGGTAGGTAGGGACGCAGGTAGGGACGGCTGAAACTCCCTTTAGGGAGGGGGCGAGATAAGGATGGCCTGGGGACAGGGAGGAGGGACTCTTGGTCCCACGAAAAGGATCCATGCAGGGACTATAGGGTGAAGGTGCCTCATAGTAACAGTCTGAGATGAGGGGCAGATTGACTGGCATCCCGTTTTCCAGAACCCACCCTTTATTCCCCACGGCCCCCTCACCAGCAGGAAGTGCCTAGTCAGCAGCACTAGGCCCAGCAGCAACAAGTATATGCCCACGGCAATGAAGACGATGGCAGGAATGGGCAGCAGCAGGGGAGGGCTGCTGGCAGAAGCCTGGGTTGGATCCCATGGGCTAGAGGAGGCCTGGACAAGCAGAGGAGGGGGGGGTGACAAGGAGGTGGGGGGGCAGCAGGAACACAGGAGGACACAGGGGTGGCTGGGGGAGGAGCAACCACTAGATCAGGGAGAAAGAGTCAATTGGATGACCCCTGACTCACCATCTTGTCCCCCAAACCTGCCTTTTCCCCTGTCGTCCCCATTTCACCGCCATCCAATACTTCTAGAATCTCCCAGGACTTAAAAACTCTTCTCTTCAGTTCGCTTCTCCAAACAGACCCCATCTCTAACCCCACTGCCACCACTTCACCCTCGCTCCCTGATGACTTGGTAGACTCTTTATCTTGCCGGGAACACCGGAAATGTGCCCTCCAGCTGTTAGTCCATCCAGGACCCTGTTTTTCTCCCAGCTCTTGTCCTAAGCTGGAAGGGCTGGGTAAAAAGCTCCTTCCCCAGCCTTAGCTGGAGGCGAGCAAAGTCAAGGGGAGCTGAGGCGCGGAGGGGGCCGCAGCAGGGTAGGGAAGGGGCCTGGACTCACGTCCATGGGGCAGGGCTGCGCTAGTCACTCCAGGAGCTGCAGAGAAAAAGAAGGTCCTGGGCTCAGAGACTGAGAGGGGCCGCTGGCCCGGATGCCCTCTCCTCCTCCCATTTCCCGTGTGGGGAAACTGAGGCCCACTAACGGCTCTGGTCTGGACCGTGGTGGGTGGTCCTGGGATGCAGGGGCGGCGCCTTCCTCCCAGGTCCCAGCCGGGCCCAGGTCACGCCCCTCCGCGGTCCCACACCCGGGCTCCCTCGGTCCACGCATCCMCATCACCTGCACCCTCGGAGCCGCCGGCAGTTCACAGATTCCGCGCCCGCGCTGGGTCCAATCCGCCGTGGCGCCAGCACCGCCCGGGACCTTGCGTTGCTTCTTGCTGTTGCCATAGGGACCAGAGTGCCGCGCCTACGGCGGCCGCCGAGACTCAAACACCCTCTTCCCGCCTAGCTTTTCCCGCCTGATTTTCTGCCGAGGGTTCTGAACCGCCATCCTTTGGGCTTTCCCGCTGGAACTGAACCGGAATAGCGAACTGTCACCTGCCTAGGTCGGATCTCCTTCAGGCGCTGGCCGTTGGAGGTGCCGCCCTGGATTCTGGGTGCTGCAAAGGAAGGACTGAAACCCTGGGCTACTGAACCAATTTGCTGTGTGACTTGGCCCAAGTTAATGAGACTGAGTCTATTTCCTCATCTACAAAAAGGGGAGCCACCTGATTCACAGGAATATTGTGCAAATCAAAACTACTTGTTAATTGCGCGGAATTAT